CATGTTGATAACAGAAATATAATGAATAAATATGGGAGCTGCATTAGCCTGGTGATGCTCTACTTGATTTTTTTCTGCAAATTTCCAGCCAATATCTCAATGTCTGAAATTCGTTCTTCTCTGAAAACACCGCCTCATACCTGGAAAGCAAGATTCAAGATTTCTCTTTTTCTCCATAGAGAATATTTCCCCAGTTACTCCAGGGACACGCTTTTCCACCTGGACTTCATTTCTGTTAACTCTACTGACTCTCATAAAATGGACTAAACTTCGTTTTGCTGTTCACTTCTCCGTAAAAATTCCATTCCCATGTATCATGTCTAGCCTCCTTTGTTAAACTTATTAGCACCACAGTGGCCAAGCCTGGCTCGGAGGGCAGAGGCGCACGCAAGATCTGAAAAGTCCATCAGAGAAGTTCAGGTCTCTCCCTCGGAGACTGGCTTAGCGGCCAATCCAAGTCTTTAACAGGAATCTGGGAGTTAAGAGCCCCTTTAAGCCTCATCTGGATCTATTTTTCCAAAAGTAGCACAGGCCTCTCTTTGGTATTTTACCAAACGTGGCTTTTCATCCTGAGTGCAAGCAGGCGGTTGGGTGCCCTGTGGACCCATCCTGGAAACATTACGTTGGCGCAGCAGCAGAGGCGGTAGCTGAAAGTTGAATGAAAAGTCTGGATCCTGCTCTGGGGAACTTCAAAGTAGGCAAACATGCCCCCATTGTGTTTCTCCCTTAAACCTAGTGGAGTCTCAGGGCAGAGATTCTTCTGTCTCTGTCTTGCAAGAAGGCACAGCTGCTTTCACTGCCCACAGGTCTTATCTTCCGCAGGCCGAGGAAGGCGGGAGAGGCTGGGAGAGAAACTGGCTTCCACCCTGGGCCCGAGCACCCCCAAAGGACTGGTGTGCACCAGATCCTCCGGTCATGCTTTGACTGTGGGGATGATGTCGGAGTTTCCATGAAATGGGAATGCTTACTCTTGAAATTGCCCTGGCATGAGATCGTGTTGGCAATGAAATGAACAAACCCCTTCAAAAGATGGCTCCACCACAGTCAAAATGTTGTTCTAGGAGAACTAGAATGACATTGGGTTAGTGGGTCATAGATCTAAAAAGGAAGGTCAATCCAAAGCAAATAGTGTCTGAGAAATGACAGCCTGTGGGGAGGTGGGCTGGCATGAGGGAGGGTCGGGAGGGGCCTCAGGACACCCTGTACCTCCCTGACTGCCCATGGGCCTGTGGGCCATAAGAAACAACAAAGCTTTCTTAAATGACGTTAAATGCTGTATTCACCTTGGCTCCCTAACTGAGCAAGTTGTCATGTTTGCATTTTACCTTGTCTAGGTGAATGCTGCCATGCCTACACATACTGCTTCCAGTTTGAGGATGCTTTTTAAAAACACACTTGTTTTTTTCTAAAATAGACACATTTGCCCATTAAGGAAATACTAACTTGGTAGCTTCCTCTGCCTGTTATTTTGCCAATGAATCATTATTTTTTAAAAAATTATCTTTATTATTAAAAGTATTACAGATGTCCCTCTTTTTATCCCATTGACCCCCTCCATCCCCCACCCTTCCCAGGCCTTCACCACACTATTGTCTGTGTCCATGGACAATGCATATTTGTATATAATTTCTCTTGTTTAATCCCCAACCTTCCCTCTGAAATGCATCAGTCTGTTCCATGCTCCCATGGCTCTGGATCTATCTTGTTCATCAGTGTATATTTAGTTAGCTAACTATTTGGGTTATAATCATTACTATTGTCCTAAAACAACAAATATTTGCTGAGCTTCTGCCAGGGACACAATGCTAGGCACTCAAGTGTGCACAGAATATGCACAAGTGAATCTCTGCTGATTCAAGAATCCAAATTGGCTGTGAAAACAGGCAATATAAACAGAATTCTATGGAACAATATGAGGGAACAGTTGTCAATTGTCCAAATTACAAATGCTAAAAGATTTCCAGAGATATAATGGCCACCAAAAGTTGGTACATTCAAGGAAGACTTCTCAGCTATCAAGCTTCAACCTGTATAAGCATGTATGATGTGTTTTTGTTTGGGGATTGGGGTACAGATCAGAATAAAGTGGTGGCGGTAATGGTATGGGTGACTTTGGTGCATGTGTGTGTGCGTGAGATAAGGAAGGGATACAGGGTTGTATATGCCATGTTCTGCAATTCATCAGCTCATCTGTGGGTAACAGAAGGTGTACCCATAATGAGTGGATGCCAAGAAATATTTGAAACTATATTATGGCCCTAGCCAGTTTGGCTCAGTGCATAGAGCATCAGCCTTCAGATGGAAGGGTCCCAGGTTCAATTCCAGTCAAGGGCATGTACCTCGGTTGCAGGCTCCTCCCCCACCCAGGCCCTGGTTGAGGTGCCTGCAGGAGGCAACAAATCGATGTGTTTCTCTCAAACTGGTGTTTCCCTCTGTCTTTCCCTCTCTCTTTCACTCTCTCTAAAATCAACGGAACAATATCCTCAGGTGAGGATTTAAAAACTATATTATGGAAAAAACATTGTCCTGAGAAAGGTTGAGGGAATAATAATTTATACGATCAATGACCACAGAAAATGATGCAAACTAAATGCTGTCTTTTAAAAATACAAAGCAAGAGTACATATAAAATTTTTGGCATACCAAACTTCATCCTGGAGAAGAGATTTCTTTTTCCCTCTTCATAAAATTTGAAAGTACTGATGCATAAAAATGCCTATTGTTTGGTCTAGAAGGAGTGAACATTCACCAGAAAGTAATGGAATATGATCAAATTCTTCTGAGCAGATGGAAAACATGCACCAAGTGGTGTTTTTTGAAAAATTAATCTAGTAAGCTTTAGAATGTGCAAGAAGAAGGGCTGGAACCAGGAGACCTTTCTGAATATTTGCTCTAAATCCATTACAGCATGACTAACATAGTGTTGGGAATTTTGTTTGCTTTATTTTCAAAAATTTTCTTTTTAGCTGTGGACTACTTTCAATTAAAAAAATAAATTAAAAATTTTTGGGTGACAATAGTTAATAAGATTATATAGGTTTCAAGTGTACAATTTGATGGCAATTGGATAAAGAAAATGTGGTATGTAGTAGGTTTACAGTTGTGAGTATGCAAAACAGAGTTAATTCTTGTAGGAATATTTTTTAATTATTTTATTATTTTCCATATAAACAACTGTAATCCTACTTTTGCCATGGACTACTTTCTTTAAATAAATATTATTTAAAATCCCTATAAATAAAAAAAGTGAAGCTGATCTGGATAATGGAGACAAAACAGGTGTTCTGCATAAGAGCAAGAACACAGCTGCCCTGCAGTATGTGAGTGCTAGGAGGAAATCAAGGACCTTTGCAAGGTGCAGAGGAAATACTTTTCAGGTTGCAAAATGCTAAAGTGTCCATGGACTAAAGAGAACTGAAATAATCGGAAAGTTAATAAAACAGGATCTCATGGAGTTAAAAATAAATTCTGGGGCTAACGAAAGAAGGAACCCCTTTTTCTCAGAGATTAAAATGAAGCAAGAGCCACTTTGGGTTTGATTTAGTTCTTACTATCCTCTCTTGAGCCTCTAATGTTCGTGTCCCTCCTCATTTTCTTTACTTTCCTATTTTCTTTTTCTGCTGCTCCCTCCCCTGTTTTTAAGTATGTCATGTTTAATTCACCTTTTGAAATTCTCAAAGATGAAACAGACATCAAGAATATGACAGGTAATAAACATAGAAAATGATGTGCATAGTAGTTGGATTTTTGTTAGTTTTTGTCAAGAAAAATCAAGATTGTTGTGGAGAACATTCTCAAAATGAGAAACATTTCTGCAATGGAGTCTGATTTGACTCTAGACAAGGTGAAATGAAGATGTTAGGTTTTGATCAGGTAAACCTTTGCACATAATGCTTCTGTTAAGCAAATATTTAGGAGTTCTAACTGTGAGGCAGAAAGAATGGCCATAATGGGGATAATGCCCCCACACTGTGCTTCCACAAACACAGTCTGTAGTGAAATCCAGACCAAACAAAAGGCATGCCTTAAATTATTAAATAGTGTGACCAAATCCTCCCCCATTCAGCTTAATTCAGGCCTACGGCTTCCATTTTATTCTCACTGAAATCTTCAAAAGAAATACCAGATTAAGAAGAATTAAGTCTCCTACCTCTGACATCAGTCTAGGCATCCCTCTCCTATAGTAATGAATTTCAACTATTTCTTTATATTTGTACACATTTTATTTCCCAGATAAGAGTCTCCTTATAAGAAGCTTGAGCTCAGAAAGGTTATAATCTATTCTGCTTGATCAGAAAACCCTACAATGACAAATAAACTCCATTTTACCTTAATATTGTAAACCAGATTTATTAACAACCTGAGAAAAATAATTAGGGAAACGTCAGTGTAGTGGAAGAATATTGGAGAGCTTTAGGCTAGTGAAAACAAATGATATAAACACAGATGCTTGTACCTGTAAGTGAAGCAGTCACTACTTAAAACAACCCATCAGTACCAAAACAATTTATCTGCAGTTTATTAAAACTAATAGTTTTTATTAACAGTCACCTCTTCGGATTTTTAAAATTTAAATATACAGATATATGCATGTATTTGCATTTTAATATCTGTTATTTTGTAATTCACAACAAAATAATGATAATGCTAGGTTTTATAGGCATTATGATTCATCTAAGAGAAAAATACTGACTTTATTAAAAAGAAAAGAAAACACTTTCAGAGGTCAAATCCTACTAGAGAAAAACGTTTAGTTTAACAAAAGACATTGAGCCACAATCTATGTAATCATTACATATGGTATCTGACACAACATTCAAGAACACAATAGAAGATATAAATAGCCTTTCAAGATTCCTCAATGAGATTTGGCCTTCATTTTGAGTCTCTTTAAATCATAGCAAACTATACCCATCAAAAATCTCTTATTTTTCCTGTTAATCTCACCTTTAACAAGAAAATAAAGAAATAGAAACAGTATCAAAAGCTAGATCACTTACCATAAATGCCTGTTGAAATGCAGGGAAATGCCTGTGAATAAACCACAAAAATAACAGTAAATTTTAAAGGTACAGTCTGCTCAATCCCGACACCATTTATTTCAAATTCTCTGTGGCTTGATAAAGGGATGCCCTCACATACTCAGGGTTGTGAAACCCCACTCAGTTCATATAGGAGATGTGGAAACAGACACATTAGGTTCACTGAAAACTTTTTCTTACCAGCATTCATCTCAGCTCACAAGAGCCATCTGTTGAATTTTCAGTAATCTTGTGAACCAATTGCTAAACACAGTTATTAATAAGAAATTAAATTACATAAACTGTCACGAAATAAGTTATATCTAAAAAAATACTCAGAGATCATCTCATCACTTCCTAATTTGGCACATCTTACTATTGCCTTGCTCTTAAGATTACTTATGCCCATCCTATGTGAATGGTGGAAGTACTAGATAATGGTGTGCTACTGAGCATCGTGTCCCCATTCCCTATTAAGTGATATGTTGATGGCTTAAAATCTGAAAATATCAATCAACATTCATGTTGGACTATACTTGTGGGTCAATTGAAACCGTAGGTTGGCTATAGATACAAAATTTTGATAAAATTTAATAAAAGTATTCTTGAAGAATCAATTAACTATACAAAATTCTATCTAATAAAAGACTTATATGCAAATTAACCATCACTTCATGATAAATAGGAGGGAATGTGCAAATTGACACAACAAAGATGGCTGCGCTGGCCAGAGCCACAGAGCCTGCCGGAGAGTGGGCAGGAAGGTTTGACATCCTGGTCGCTGGGGTAACCCAGGATGCCAAGCCTGGCCAGAGAGCAGAGCGGGAGAGCGGGCTGGAGTTCCCAGTCCTTTTGGTTTCTGCAGCCCCTGGACCAGAAGCAGAAGTCCAGAGCTTGGGGAGCACCAGGAATGCTGGAAATTGTAGTTCTGATGACAGATGCATTGTGTGATCTCTTAGACACTGGAGCAAAGTGAGCCTGGAGCAAGTTTCTGTTGTGAGTGGGGGATGGAGGGAAAGCAAAGGTGACAGACATAAGTAAAGTCAGAGTGTCGGGGAAAAATTAAAAGGAAGATATCCTGCAACTTCTAGGAAATCTCCACCAATGGAGCAAAGGAACAAAAAAAGACCTCTATTATTCTATGAGCACCAAACCAAACTGGGCTGGGGTCTCAGACAATTCGCTCATATGATTGCAAAGACAAACAGAAACTTCACTCTTTTATGTATCCAGGCAGATATAATGCACAACATGCACGTTTTCATGGAAGAGGACTTAACAGCACCATTTGCTATACACCCTTCGGTAAGTCACATTTTTGGTGGCCATCTGTGTTAGTTAATTGCCACAATCAAGAGTAAAAATTAGAATTCGCTGCCACCTCCTCCGGCTCCCCCTCTTTCCTCAGCCTCTCCCCAGATTCCCCTCGTCTGCACCTTCGCCCTCTCTTCAGCACAGGTAGCTGTTACCGGCATCCAGAGATCGGCTACTAACCCGGCGGCTACTAACCCGGAGGCAACGACTCGCAAGCAACGCGACTGTAAGAGCCCAGAGGAGATCTGCACCCCTCCACGGAAAGCAGATTCAAGCAACAGCGGCCTCCTGATCACCACATGCTCTGCCTGGGGAACAGTTGCTGTGTGTGAAGCCTCCCTCCACCAGCCAGAAGAGCCACCACAGCTGTGAACAGCACCCACCAGAGGCCCTGCTATCAACAGAGGAGCCGCTGCTACCACAACCGCCCAAGGAGCAACCACAGCCCGAGGAGCCACTGCCACCCAGGGAGCAGCCACTGCCACCCAGGGTCCAGCCACTGAACGACTCAACAACTAGTCATGTCAGTGAGATCAAACATGGGTAGACAAAGAAACCCCCAAAGGAAAGAAAAGGAGGACTCGCCAGAAAAGCAGCTAAGTGAGACAGAGATATGCAACATGACGGAAAAAGAATTCAGAATAAGGTTCCTAGAGTACATGCACCGGATGTTCAAGAAGCAAGAAGAAACAGATGAAAAACTCAACTACTTATGCAAGAAGCTAGAAGAAACAGATGAAAAAATCAACAACTTAAGTAAGTCCCAAGAAGAAATGAAGAGCGACATAGCCTCAATAAAAAACACCATTGAAAGTATCAACAGTAGACTGGGAGAAGCGGAGGACCGAATTAGTGAATTAGAAGACAAGGAAGCAAAACACACTCAAACTGTACTGCAAATGGAGAAAAAAATTAAAAGACAGGAGGAGAGCCTAAGGGAGCTTTGGGACAACATGAAACGAAACAACATACGAATAATAGGGGTGCCAGAACAACAGAAAGATGAACATGGATTAGAAAACCTATTCGAAGAAATAATATCAGAAAACTTCCCTGAGGTGGGGAAGAAAAAAGTCACACAAGCACAGAGAGTCCCAAACAAGGTGAACCCGAAAAGACCCACACCAAGACACATCATAATTACCATGGCAAATATGCAGGATAAAGAGAGAATCTTACAGGCTGCAAGAGAGAGACGGAAAGTAACATACAAGGGATCTCCCATTAGATTATCAAATGATTTCTCAACAGAAACACATCAGGCCAGAAAAGAATGGACGGAAATCTACAAAGTGATGCAAAGCAAAGGACTGAATCCAAGAATACTCTATCCAGCAAGGCTATCATTCAAAATTGAAGGGGAAATAAGAAGCTTCACAGACAAAAAAGGGCTAAGGGAGTTTATCACCACCAAGCCAGCCATGCAAGAAATGCTAAAGGGACTGGTGTAAAAAGAAGAAATAAAAAGCTCAGAAAGAAAACAGCCACACACACACACAAAAAGAAATGGCTACAAACAAGTACCTTTCAGTAATAACTTTAAATGTAAATGGACTAAATGCTCCAACCAAAAGACATCGAGTGGCTGAATGGATAAAAAAACATGACCCATACATCTGCTGTCTACAAGAGACCCACCTCATTAGAAGGGACTCACACAGACTGAAAGTGAAGGGATGGAAAAATATCTTTCACGCAAATGGAAAGGAAAAGAAAGCTGGGGTAGCAATACTTATATCTGACAAAATACATCTCAAAGTGAAGGCCATAACCAGAGATAAGGAAGGCCACTTCATAATACTAAAGGGATCAATACAACAAGAAGATATAACCCTGGTAAACATATATGCACCCAATGCAGGAGCACCCACATACATAAGAAAACTTCTGGAAGATATCAGGGGAGAGATCGACAACAATACAATCATAGTAGGGGACTTTAATACACCACTGACATCACTGGATAAATCCGCTAGACAAAAACTCAGCAAAGAAACAGCAACCCTAAATGACTCACTAGATCAGATGGACTTAATTGACATCTTCAGAACACTTCACCCCACAGCTGCGGAATATACATTCCTCTCAGGTGCTCATGGGACATATTCAAAAATAGACCACATATTGGGTCACAAGCAAAGTCTCCACAAATTCAAGAAGATTGAAATCATAAAAAGCTTCTTCGCAGACCACGATGGCATAATGTTAGAAATAAACTACAATAAAAACAACCCAAAATACTCAAACACTTGGAAGCTGAATAGCATGTTATTAAATATTGATTGGGTTACCGATGACATCAAAGAAGAAATTAAAAACATCCTGGACACTAATGACAATGAAAACACAACAATCCAAAACCTCTGGGACACAATGAAAGCAGTCCTGAGAGGAAAGTTTATAGCTCTACAGGCCTATCTCAAAAAACAAGAAAAAATGGTAGTCAATCATCTAACTCTACAACTCAAAGAATTAGAAAGAGAGCAACAAGAAAACCCCAGAGTGAGCAGAAGGAAGGAGATAATAAGATTAGAGCAGAAATCAATGAAATAGAGACCAAAAAAACAATACAGAAAATCAATGAAACCAAGAGCTGG